TTAGTTGCTGGCACTGCCGTTGCACTCTGTGGAGTTGCTATTGTTCCAGGTGAGACGACATCACGCGCTTACAAAACGTCCTTTTCTTTAATTTTTAGCATTGTTCGCTGCTCTATTTGTTCTTCACGATATCCATTCGTTCCAATCGGAAGTATATGAAGATCTCGCTGAATTCAAGACGATTGCTGAAGATGCATGGACAACAATGGTTCCACGTGAAGATGCTGTTCAACCATTTGAGACCTTCTTGAGAAGATTCAGAAGAGGATATGATTCTGGAGTTGCTGGATCAGCTGGATCTGCTGATGGAAAGTGCAACTGTGGACCACAACCAAAGAACTGTCCAGCCGGACCACCGGGACCACCAGGAAATCCAGGAACACCAGGAGATGACGGACCAATTGGAAGAGCTGGAAATCCAGGAAGAGATTCAACTGAAGGAGATCGTATGGCTGATTTCAACAAGGATGTCAAGTGCCCAGCTGGACCACCAGGACCACCAGGACCAGATGGATTCCCAGGACATCCAGGACCAGATGGAGAGTTTGGAATCGATGGACCAAATGGAAAGGATGGAGAACAAGGACCAGACGGACCAGAAGGAGATTCTGGAACACCGGGACTTCCAGGACCACCAGGAGAAGATGGAACTAACGGACAAAACGGAACACGTGGAAAGGGACAACCAGGAGAGCAAGGTCCAGTTGGAGCACCAGGAGAGCCAGGAAAGGATGGAGAACCAGGAGAGAATGGACAAGATGGACAACAAGGGCCAGAAGGACCAGCTGGACCAGACGGACAACCAGGACATCCAGGACCAGACGGACCAAGCGGAGATGTTGGAGAAGTTGGAGCTCCAGGAGCTGATGCTGCCTACTGTCCATGTCCACCAAGATCAGCCGAAATGGCTGCTACCGGAGGATCTGACTCGGCTCCAGCTGGATACGATGCACCAGCCCCAGCCGCTGTTCCAGCACCAGCCCCAGCTGCTTATGAAGCTCCAGTCACAACTGCTGCACCAGCTCCAGCAGCTACTGGATATGATGCTGCAGCTCCAACTGCTCCACACCCACCACCACCAGCTCCAGTTGCCCCACCAAAGCTTCACGATTACGAGTCTCCAGCTCCAGTAGCAGCTACACAAGATGCTGCTCCAGCGGCTCAGCCATACAAGAGAAGAAAGGTTGCCAGAGCTATGATGGCTTAATTTAAAATTGTGTAAACTTAATAAATTATTAGAAAAATCAGGAATTGTACTTATTATGAAGATGAAGATACATCTTCAGTTATCAATGTCTGGAAAGTTATTAATAGCTCCCCATACGAATTCCTACGTGAAAACACCTACTTCATTTTTTGACATCGTTGTTTTTCTGTAGCTTATCAGCCACACAGATCTCTCCAATCACTCTGTCTGTTGTTCACAACGTCAGTTATTCTCAACTGAAATCATCAAT